CCAGGCCCGCCGCCCGCCGGGCCCGCGTCCATCTCCATCTCCGAGGGGCATCGTGGAGCGTTGCGCTGCGTGCGCCACGGCGTCCGTGGGAGAAGCCGCCACCTCCCGGGCCCTGGACGCTGGACGGAAGCGGCCCGCTCTTGGCCCCGGGCGGCTGCGCTCCCTGAGAACGAGCAGCGGCGCCCCGGAGATCAGGACGCCCTGGCTCTTGTACAAGGCTGAAAGGAAACTGGCGGTGTTAAGTAAAAACGGCATGTATATTGGCCACTGTGCGCACTTCAGCCTAACCACGCACAGGTGCTCAACGTCGCCCGTGCCTGGAGGACTAGAGGGAGTCGGGCCCAGCCCGTTAGCGCCCAAAACTCCCCGTATGTGTGAACTAAAGTGCGGTCAGTGGCCCAGCAAACAGGGCTGGTTTATGTTAGCGCTGCAGAAAGCGAGGGAGAAGCCCCACACTTTCACTAAAGCAGATTCTGTCTTGTGAATTGTATTTGCATGCAGTTAGCTCTGAAGGACCCACAATGAGCGTCTGAGCCAGGTGTGGTGGTGCCTACCTATAATCCCTGAACTCAGAATGCAGAGGAGGACCATACACTTCTGGGCTATATAATGAGACCTTGTCTGGAATAAATGAACAAACGAATGAAAGCAAGCTTGGGACCCAGATTCAGAAATAGGAAACTCATTTCTCCAGTTGATCTTAGGAGACAGGAAGATGAAATGATCAGACTGACTTCACTTTAGATATCCGTAGTCCTGATGCACACATGGCTTTGAATCATTTCTGGAGGTGCTTCTTCCACAGCCATCATTGTGTAGTGCTTCTCTTGCTGTGTCTGAGGGCCTTGGAATCAGTGGGGAAATGTCGTTTCTTTGTCCAGGCCATGGCCTTGCCTTTTGCCTCAGAGCTGGCCTTCTGGCCCCCAGCCTTCCTCAGAGCCTGGACGGTGGAGAGCAAGCGCCCCCGCAGGCTGCTCCGCGCGGACAGACAGCAGCTCAGGTAGGTGCCTCGCTCCTTGTCTTGAGTTAACCCCCACTTTCCACGCTAGAGGAAGTGTAGCTCGCTGTTTGTTTCTGTGCGCTGGAGACCAGCTGATTCGAACGAGAATCAAGTGAGGTGAATTCAGGGCTGAGCAGGCACAGTTAGGAGACACTGATCAGCCAGTCTGTCTCCTGGAACATGTGTTGGGGGCACTCAAATGTGATTCCAGTTCCCTTTGGGAAAAGCAGCAATAGCATGGGCAAGAACTTAGCTGGGCAGTGGGCTTTTCTTTCACCATCCAGCCATCTTCATAACACTTAGCATCCATGTATGGCAAAAAGTACGTGAGGTGTGCCTAGGCAAGTGTCCTGCATGGGCCCCTCGGCCAGCTGCCTGTGTGCTAACGTAGCTTGCAGACGCAGTCCTTGCCTTAAAGAAAAAGCTTCAAATAGGCAAAAAGAAAAAAGTTCAATAACATACATGCTATGCTGTTCTTTCTCTCACTGTCATCAGGGAATATAAACTAGGACGGAAAGCTGAGATATGCCTGGAAGCTCTTGAGAAGGAAGAAAGCTTGGGGTGAGTTCTGCTGCACGAGCACTCCTTACCAGAACAGGCAGTCCCCCACACCCCAAAAGTTAGCCACCTGATGAGTGAGAGCCTACAAATACACTGTGTTCTAGGAACCTGTTTGTCTGGCTGTTTGTGCAGTAGTACACATCTATAATCCCAGCTACACAGAGGCAGAGGGTAAGAGCGTCACGGGCTAAGACCAGCCCTTTATAAAAGTGTTAGCCTTAACTAAAAGTAAACTAAAGCACAAAGGACTGGGAGTGTGGCTAGAACAGTAGGCCCTGAGTTCAAACCCCAGTACCACACACACACACACAGAATGAGTGCACCCTGTGTTGTATTTGTTGTAAGCAGTGTCTTTGTATCTTTCTACAAGCAAGCCCTTTGTGCCCCAGAACCACACCCTTCCTCAGCCTCCCCGCCCCCCAGTACTGAGCGCTGCCCCCCCAGGGGCACATCTCCCTCTGCTCTTGTTCTCCGTCCAGATGGAAGGAGTGGGGGAGGCTGTGGAGGAAGCCTTGCCCATTCTGCCCGGCAGGTGTGCAGTGTGTCCTCCCCTGGGCCTCACGCCCAGGCTCCCGCGTTCTCTGCCGCAGCCCCCAGGACATGCTGCTGAGGACGCAGCTGCGCATCCCCGGCGAGAGGGCCTACGCGCGGGCCCTGGACTTGGTGTGGGACGCGGCGCGAGGCTGCACCGCGGGCTCCCTCAGGCAGAGAGTGGCCGATTTCTATTCGCTGCCTGTAGAGAAAATTGAAATTGCCAAATACTGCCCTGAAAAATTTGAGTGGCTTCCCATATCTAGCTGGGTAAGTTGTGTGGCTTTCCAGAGAAATCGGGGCTGGCTGGCATAAGGGTCAGGTTCACGATACCTTTTAGAATTTGAGATTGAGCCAGGTGCCTTTAGCTACTCAGGAGGCTGAGACCTGAAGGGACACAGCTGGAGTTGGAAGCTAGCCTATGCAGAAAAGTCTGACGCTGTCTCTAACCAGCAAAAAGGTGGGCTGGAGGCATGAGTCAACTGGTAGAGAGCACCAGCTGAGCAAGCAAGTTCAGGACCGAGTTTTCAAACCCCAGTATCCCCCCCCAACCACACACACACACACACACACACACACACGAATTTAAGATTGAGTTTTGTTTATTTAAGATACTTTTCTACAGAATCAGCAAATTGCCAAAAGGAAAAAGAAGAAAAAGCAAGACAATTTGCAAGGGGCACCATATTACCTGAAAGATGGAGACATTATTGGCGTTAAGGTGGGTTTACGGTGCCCCTCCGGCTTGTCAGCACAGGCGGGCTCAGCGGTTTTACAGAGGCGGTTCCTCAGACAGTCCCTGCATGAGAACCATAGCGGCTTGAGATCAGCACTCCCAAGGACAGAAGAGAATTAAGACCAGTTGTGTTATCAGCACAACCGTGTTAACACTAAAAACAAAATGCTGCCAAACAAAGCCAGTCAGGGCACTCAGTGACCCAGGAATGTGAAGACGGCGGTGCCAGGACCCATCACAAGCTGCGCCGGGCTGAGCGCTGCGGTCCGCCTGCCCTCCTGTGCCCACGTCTGGGCTGTGTTCTGGTTTTTGGTTGTTTGCGTCCACCTCTTAGCTATGCTAGTTAATGCTGCATGTAAACAATTCTTTGAGATGTGTTCAATTATTTTGAATACTTCTAGAAATAGGATTCCTGCATCAGAGAAATTTTAGTTACTTTTTAAAATTCTGTGCTGTGTTCTTACCTGACATTTCTTTAAAGCCTCTTTTGTTTGTAGTTGAAGCAAACATCAGGCTGAAACTTCCCTAATGAAGCTCTTCCTGCCCTAACCCAAATTCGTGGGTTTTGTTTTGTGGTTTTGTTGGTTTGTTCAAAATACTTCAGGCTTAATCTGAGTGTCTCTTTGGCTCGTGGGATCCATTTTTGAGCAGACCTCTTGGTGTAAGTGGGCCTGCCGTGTGGAAACTGCTCATTAATCCTTTTGAAACGCAGAACCTCCTGGTGGAGGAGGACGATGAGGACTTCAGTACCGTCAGCGACGACCTCGGGAAGGAGAGGCAGAAGCAGCTGGCGCTGGGGAAGAAGAAGAGGTAATCCTCGCGCTCCGGGGTGTCTGCCTGGCTCAGCCCCGCCCGGCCCCTTGCCCCCCCCCCAACCTCCCCCCCTCTGCGGGCCCCAGAGCCACCTGCGCCATGCCTGCGCTGTGCTAATTCGGGCGGGTTTTCTGTTTCCTTTGCTGCTCTTTCTAGAACCTTCCTCCAGAGGTTCACGCCCCCACCCTCACCCCGGGCCCGATCCCGTGTGGAATTGTGCACGTGTCCACACATGCAGACTCCACCCACTAACACCCACACGTATACACCATGTCCCCGCACTTGGCACCAGCCTGGCCCCACCCTGCTTGTGTGTGTGTGTGCGCACGCCTGTGGATACGCACATGCACAGTGCCCACTGCAGTGCCGTGACTGCTCTGGCCTCTTGGCCTGCCATGAGCGGCCCCGCCCGGCGTGCCATGCTGGGCTGTGTCCTGGCCACGGGCCTGACCTCCGCAGCCCACTTCCTCGTGCCGCTGGCCACAGTCAGGCCGCATCTCTGCCACGAGGGATGAACGTGGGGGTCCCCTCTGGTATGTGGGCAGTGCCCGTCCTTTTCTGTGGACTGTTCAGACCTTTTACCAACTCGACTCATGTGCGTGGGGAAGTGGCCAGAGGGCATGGCTGTGGCTAATTTACCTACAAATAGGTAAAAAGACAAATGTAAGTTTAGAAAAATCCCTGTGTTGGCTGGGAGCTGGTGGCTCCCGCCTGTCATCCCAGCTACTCAGGAGGCTGAGATCTGAGGATCACGGTTCAAAGCCAGCCCAGGAAGGAAAGTCCATGAGACTCAACTCCAGTGAACCACTAGAAAACCAGAAGTGGTGCTGTAGCTTAGTCGAGTGCTTCCCTTAAGCAAAAAGAGCTCAAGGTCCTGAGTTCAAGCCACATGACCAACCAAATAAAAAATCCAGTTGTGATAGTACAATCTTATAATCCCAGCCAATACTTGGGAGTTGCAGGCAAAAGAACATGAGTTCAAGGTCAGCATAGGCTATAGCAAGACGAGACAGCTTGGCTGCAGGAAGCCAGGTGCAGAGCACTGAGACGCCGCAGGAGGGGCGCAGCGCGGTCTCGGGACGGGCCTGTGGGCTGCTTGCTGAGTGCGCACCCGGTGTGCTGTTACACCGCAACGTAAAAGCACAGACAATACTACAGCTGCTGTGTCTAGCAGACTGGACAAGGTCCATGGGGCAGGCCATGTGGCCATGGGGGGCTGGGCCTCCATCCTCCCCCCAGGGCAGACCAGTCCAAACGCAGTCCCTCTTCTGCTCTGCCTTGGACCTTCGAGTGTGAACTTCACCCCTTGGCCTGGGGCCCCAACCCAGTCCGTGACTCTGTCTCCTGCAGCCGCGAAGCCCTCCGTGCACACAGCAGCGACCTCTTCTCCAGCGCAGGGACGCCTGCCCAGCCTCGAGGACCAGAAGCTTCTCTGTCCATCCACGTTGGGAGCTTCCGATAGGCCTGGCAGAGGACGCTCCCGGCATGCCCAGCACCGCGCTGCGGCTCCAGCTGTTCTGCCAGTCCCGTGACGCGCTGTGGGGTGGGTCCGGCACCCCAGTTCTGTGCTGCCCTGGAGGGTGGAGTGCCCTCCTCAGGCCGGGCCAGTGCTTGTCATCCTTCGGATCTTCAGTACACACGGCCCACGCAGGTGCCAACCTCCCCATGCCCACCCGTGGCCTTTCCCAGAACAGTGGCTGTGTGTCAACCACAGGTGAGACCGCAGTGTGGGTTGCTGTGTAAACCATGCGTGTCCAGTCACATTCGCTGCGGGGCCGGCGGTTGATGAGCTGCTGCAAGGCAGCCAAGCTCCCCATTCATGCACAGCTTCCCCTGGGCCGGGCTTGCGTGGCAGCCCTCCAGAGTGGCCCTGCTGAGAAGCAAGGGCCAGCTGTGGCCCCTGCCACTCGGGGCTGGTGACAGAAGCCAGGTGGTAGACAGGGCCATCACAGGCCGCTGGACAGACGCTCCGAGTTGGTGTTGATTCAGCCCAGACAGCCGTGCGGTCACCGGCCTGGCGTTCTCACTGCTCACCCCGAGCTCCTCGTGGCTGCGCCTCCGCCGCCCCCGCTCAGGCTCTGCATCTCGTAGAGGGCCCCGCGTAACCGACACTGCAGGTGACCCGTCTCTCCTGCCTGGTCCTCTTCCAACATGGCTTCCGTCCACTTGCCTGGGCGGCCGCATAGGGTCAGTTGTCCATCGTCTCCCGTCAGAGCCTCGGACTGGCAGCTCCTCTAGTTCCCAAACACGGGCCTTTCCGTTCCGTCCACAGCTCACTCGGGTTTGATGACACACACCCTGTGAGCGTGCGCACTGGTTGCCGGGCCTTCCAGGCTGCCTTTTTTTTACTTTCACTGGTGAATTTCCGTACTGTGGTCTCATGGCCTGCGTGGCCTGGGAAGGCGATAAAGCAGCAATGTGCTGAGCGCCCCCTCCGAGTGCTGGGCAACGGGGCGCCCGCCACGGCCCTTGCTGGCCAGCTTGCCTTTGTCTTTGGTTTATCATCAGTATTTTAATCCGGGATTGGAAGGTACATAGGGAGCAATGACTACGATTTTATTAAAGAAAAAATAACTTTCAAAATTGGAGTCCTGTTTCTGTCATGCTGGCTGCTTCGAGTTCTGCTGACGATGAACTTCTCTGCTCCCCCCCCCCCCCCCGTGAACTTCAGATGCTAAACAAAGCATATTGGGAAATTATTCGTACCGCTTTGGAAACAAGCACACTTGGTTCTTCAATACATCCTGACTCGTGGGAGAGTTGTATGGCAAGATGTAATGTGGCTGTTGTCCAGTTCTCTTCCTTCTAGGGGCTGGCTGTGCCCTGTGAGTTGCAGGAAACCAAGTATTCACTTGTGACTGTGACATTCTTCTGGCGACATCGGAGACTTGTAGACACTGATTTCCCTCTGAAACAAACCTGGGGTGACCCAGGAGGGACCACAGGTGAAGAGCCCGGACACTGCTGCACGGCAAGACGGCTCCACGAGCCCGCATGCCAGAGCTGCCGCCGACGGTCTGGAAACGCACCGCGCTTCAGGGGAGAAGGGAGGGAGCGCGGGCCCCAGGACGAGGCTGGGACATGTGCGGTGCGGCCCGGGCTCAGCCCAGCAACCAACACAGTGGCCGCCATTCAACCTTTTCCCAGAGCGGCTGTGAACCAAACTCAGTTTGGCAACTGTTGCCACCAGAGCACCAGAAATAAGGACGAGCCCTGGCCAGTGAAGATGGAAAACAGGCTTGTTTTATTTATACACAGGACGTATGTACAGCTGTGACGCGAACTATGTACAGAGCAACAGCCGGAAGCATCTGCTCCCGGGTGGTCACTGTATAAATTAGTATAAATACGAGGGTAGGCTCCACCTGCAGGCACAAAACCTCCCCAGGCCTTGGGGACCCTGGGACACAAGGGCCCTGCAGGGGTTTGGGGCCGGGTGGCAACGGGGACGCACAGGCCCGTGGCCACCTGGCAGGCTTCTGCGGCACCACACGGGCCCCCTCCCCCAACTTGAGAACCCGCAATTTGCATGGGCAGTGCTGCCTTGGCCGCTAACGTGAACCTGGTCATTTCCCAGAACACCGAGGATGTGGCAGCCCTGGCGGTGACCAACTGCTGCTCGTCCTCCTGTCCGTGTCGCACCTCCCCACGGCGCACTCTGACCTGGCGTAGCGGGGAGCAGTGAGCCGTGTCTAGGTGCTCCCTTCTCCATGTCCCGCTGGCCGCCCTGCTGCTTGCCTAAGGGGAGACAGCTGTGGCTGGAGAGGGGGCAGAACTCCAGTGAGCCAGCTGAGCACACGGCAGACCATCTGAGTGCAGCCTTCCACCCAGGACACGTGACCTCGTCCACAGACCCCGAGCTGGGGGCAGAGCGTGGCAGGACACTGTTCTCCACACACCAGAAAGCCGCGGGGGCCACAGCCACAGGAGCAGGGGCCACAGGAGGGACCGCGGCTCTGCAAAGCGGGCCCGCAGCCGGCTCCGCCGTGCCTTCAGCGGTGCCCTGAGCGGCCTCCGGTGTGCCAGGGGCCGGGCAGTGCTACAGGTGTTCAGTGCCGCCCCGTCTGGGCAGGAGCTGCGGCCGGGCAGCTCACGCACCTTGGCAGGTGGGGCCAGCTCTGAAGGGAGGCAGTGAGGACCCGCCAGCCATGCGGGGACTGCCCCGCAGCACGGGGCCTGCTCGGGGCTCAGCTCTGATTCCCGGCAAGGGCAGGGGCTGGCGCGAGCGCCGTTGGGGCGGTGCCCACAGCTGTCTCCAGGGACACCAGGCAGGCCAGTGGGAGGCGGGAAGCCTCTGCAGGACCAGAGACTCTGGAGCACCCTGCAGGACCAGATGGCACCTCCCCCAGCGACACAGTCCTGGGCACACGGTAGTCTCCACAGAAAGATGACCAACGTGAGCCCACACCTCGTCTGCCCCAAGCTACGCTCCATCGGCCTGCGGCATCCCTGGGGACTGAAGTGACATCCTGTGCCCCTGACTCAGGAGGGCGCTTGGAGTGCCAGAGGCGATCGCGCTTCTGCGAGGCCCGGCGGTTCCCGACCGTGGCCAACGGCGGCCCTGTCCCCCTGCGTCTTCCTGCTTTTTCTTCCTGTCAGGGAAGACAGGCCGGGCGTCCATGCTGCTCTTCACCCTGGAAGCCGCAGGACCCGGACGCCCGCGTGAAGCCCTCGGGGAGGGGCTGTCAGGCACAGGGAAGGTTCTGGCTGCGGCCACTGCACGCTGAGGGCCAGTGGGGTGGAGGAAGGGCGGAGAGGCGCGTGGGGCACTCTGGACTCGACCTCAGGCCGAGGGCACGGGACGGCTCTCCCCGGGCCCCGGCTGGGAAAGGGATCGGTTCAAAGGTAGCTGTGTTGGTCTGTTCAAAGCCCAGAGCTGTTACCAACGTGCGTCACGTGTGTCAGAGCTTCCGGGCACTCCCAGAGGGAATAGCACCATGAGACGGCCTCGGAGGCTGGGCCTCCCTGGCCTCAGTCATGGGGGCGCGGCGGAGGCAGGCAGACAGGGCGCAGGCTAGGCCTCGGTGGCAGGAGAGCCCCGGCTCAGCTCCTTGATGCCACAGAGGATCCTCTTCATGTGGCCCACTTTGGTCACCCCAAGGTCCTGCAACAGAGAGGACAGCTGCTGATGCTGTGGGGTGGGGCTCCCCCCGCGTCCCCCCCCCCCCGCACCACTGGGGAGGAAAGTGATGACAACCACAAAGCACATGGCCGTGCAGACCAACACCACCCCTGGGCTCTGCGGATCTCGTCGGGACCGTCCAGCCAGCCGGAGGCGGCGCAGGCAGGCCTGAGCCCGCGGCAACGGCCCCCACCCACCTCTACCCTCCCCTGGACTGGGCCAGGCTGGGTCTCACGTAGTGGGCCACGACCCGGGCCCCTTCCCTCAGCCCGGGCCTACACGGAGGCGGCCTGTGGCAGCTCTCCCTTCACTGTGGGGTCACCGACGCCGGGCTGCGTGCTTGAACGCAGGACAGGCCTGGTCAGGGGGGCTGAGAACGTGGCGTCTGCTCTGGCCTTACTCGGCTGTGGCAGGTGCAGCCACGAGCCGGCCCGGGCGCCGTCAGCCCAGGGTGTGCGCAAAAGCCCAAGAAGACTCGTGAAGATGCGGGTGCTGGGACGTGGCCAGGGCAGGGGACAGACAGGAAACAGGAGTCATGTAGAAGCCGGTGAGGGTCTGGGCAGGCGCCCGTGGGAGTACCTTGAGGTCTCTCCGCTCCAGATGCAGGAGCTCGGAGCCCCGGATGTCGTGCCGCGTGAAGATGTCCTTATACTCACAGAGACTGAGGTGCTCCAGCCAGGCAGCCACCTCCTCTGTGCCCCAGAGGTGAACTGTCAGAGACGGAAGAGCACAAGCGCAGTGAGGGCCCAGAGCCCAGCACCAGTGCAGGCGGCGGCAGTGCCAAGATGCGCAGAGCAGCCAGCGCCCGCCACCCAGCCGTGGGCATGCCCGCCACCCGTGCTGAAGCCCTGGGGGCCGGCAGCTTGAGCTGTGACTGTCCCTCCCGGGGCATCACAGACTCGGTGCAGCTGGGTCCCAGCGGGGATTAAAACCAGACAGGAGACATCAGTGCAGGGCGAAGCCAGTGTTTCCTACGTGCCCTGCTAGCCATGCTGGATGGGAGACGCGCACCACCAGCTCCGGGCCACACCATCACCATGAGCAGAAACCCAGCTGCTGCACAGACATGCAAGGAAGGAAAACTCGCAGGGGCCCTGCCTTGAGCGTAGCAGGCACCCAGAGGAATGAGAGGGGTCAGTCTAGCAGGGTTTAAGCCCCAATTTACTGGCCAAAAGGAAAAATGTCCTTTAGCACCATTGCTCTTGATTTCTGCACCCACAATCACAGTAGCCCGGGGGTGCTAGACTTAGCGGCCTGATCAATGAATCAATGACAGCGATCAGCAGCGCATCAGAGGAGCAGGCCCAGAAGACCACAGCACATCTGAGGCCAGAGTTTTGTGTCTCCGAGTTTGTCTTCTCACTCCCTACCAATTCCCCGGGGTGGGGCTGCCATCAGCACCCAGAAGAGGGCAAGCACACATGGTGTGGCTGTACAGCGTAGCCCAGCGATGAAGGTCACGGCACAGAGGGGGGATGACGTGGCCAAGGGAGAAAGCAGAGACCAGGAGAACCCAGCCAGGACAGCTGCTGACAGCCAGAAACACACGCGGGGGGGGGGGGGGGGGCAGATACCCGGGGCTCCCAGACTGCTGTGCACTTCTTTGTTCTTATTGTTTTTCTCCTTTTTAAACTTCGTCACCAGGCGGAATTTGCCACTGCGGCTGCGTTTAGAAAGATCCAGCATCACGTTCTGTAGGGGAGAGTGAGACTGAGAATTCGATCCCAATTCATCAAGGCCTCCCTTGTAGCTGTCAAGACTCTTGGTTCTTCACATGCTCATTCTCCCAGGCATTGTTGATGTCACTGTCTTAAACATGGTTTAAAATTGATCATCTACTTGGGAGGCAGACATCAGGAGGATCAGGGTTCAAAGCCTGCCCAGGCAAAAGAGTTATCAAGATCTCATTCTCAACCAGTAAAAGCAGAGTAGGGTGATGCACACTTAGCATGCTAGCTGTATGAGAGCTTAGTAAACAGGCCAGCCCCCCATGAACTCAAGACCTTATTCAATCAGCAACTCGAGCAAAGAGGGTCTGAGCTGGGGCTCAAGAGTTAGAGCAAACACCCTTCTCATAAGCACAGGCCACGAGCTCAAACCACCGAAGTGACCATGCTGTCTTACAGACTGATCAACTGATGGATGGAAGGTGACAAACAGACAATCTAGCTATGCAGCCCAGGCTAACAAATTCAGGACCTTCCTATCTCCCATGGGCTGGGGATTACTGAAATGCCTCACTACACATGTCTGAAGTATCTGTTTTTTAACTTTTTACTATAATAACAATACTTCTCATATGATGAAAATTTTTTCTAAATATTACTGAAATATCAGTACATACCATTATGTAAATATAGATTATATAAACTAGGTTATTTAAGCCAGTCTCCTAGTGCTGATGGCTAGGCCTTGATTATGAGCACTATAGGCCTTCTAAGAGCACTTGGCGCTTCCTTGCTTCCTATTGGTCCTGGGGCTTGAACTCTGGGTGTTGTCTCTGAGCTCTTCAGCTCAAGGTGAGCTCTCTCTCTCTCTCTCTTTTTTTTTTTGGGGGGGGGTCTGGTCTTGGGGCCTGTACTCTGGGCCTGGGCGCTGTCCCTCAGCTCTTCAGCTCAAGGTTAGCTCTCTACCACTTGAGCCACAGCATCACTTTTGGCTTTTCCTGCTTATGTGGTGCTGAGGAATCGAACCCAGGGCCTCAGGCATGCAAGGCAAGCGCTCTACCACTGAGCCACCTTCCCAGCCCTCTATCTCTTGAGCCATAGCTCCACTTGCGGTTTCTGGTGCTTTATTGGAGGTAAGAGTCTCACAGACTTTCCTGCCCGGGCTGGCTTTGAACCATGTGATCCTCAGATCTTAGCTTCCTGAGTAGCCAAGATTACAGGCGTGAGCCGCCAGCATCCAGCTTTTTGCGCTCTTTCCCCTGGAGTAGAGCAGAGAGCTGAGAACATGGCAACAGGCTTGCTGCCAGCTCCCGGCCTCCAGGGACACGCGGAGGCTGTAACTACCACTGCGACCCACTGCTTGATAGCCTTGACGCTGAGCATGTGAAAGAATATCCCAAGCAAGCAGACTTCCTAAGAATTACTTAATGATAAAAAGGGTCATTACATAATGACAAAACCTATGCACACCAACAAGAGGCTCAAAAGACATCAAGCAAAACACACAGAGCCACCAAGAAAAACAGAGACGGCTACAATCCTGGTAAAGAGCTAGTGATTGACCAAGAAAAATTTCCAGTAGGGTTTTAATATAAACAGCAAGTGCACAGAAGGTGAGCTGTGTGTCAGAAAAGCAGCAACACGCACACCCCGGGGGCAATCCCATGCCCTGGAAAAGACAAGACAGACTTCCCAAGAACTCACCTGGGTGCTGTGTGGCACCGTGCGATGACTATTAGAGCTGTCTGAGCTCAAGCTCCACTTGGTAACGTTATACTTTTCCATCTCAAGGGATCCTATTTTTTACACTCACTGCCCATCAAGTGCGCAGTTCTAGTTCCCCTTGGTCCCGGGGTCCCCAGTGGATGTCCCTGTGCGGCGGCGCTCGCTCCCAGCACACTCGGTTCCAGGGAGCACACAGCACTTTGCTACGAAGCACGTTAGGCTATGGTTCGAGCACAGGGCGGTGTACTCGCCGGGCTAGCGTCTGGCAGGGGAGGCATACCAAAAGCAGTTCTAAGCTGAGAGCAGGTGGCTCCTATGCCTGTAATTCTGGCCACTCAGGAGAACTGATTCAAAACCAATTCAGATAGAAAAGTCCTTGAGACTCCATCTTCAAAGCCAGGCTGGAGGCATGGCTCAAGTGGTAGAGTGCCAACCTTGAGCTCAAGAAAGCTGAGCAAGAGTGCAAGGCCTTGACTTCAAGTCCCAGGACCAGCTTTACAGAAGAAAAAAAAAAAAGCTCCTGCATGTTTTGCATGTTACAGCGAGCTTAAGGCGCACTCGAGAGTGGCGGAGCACCAGACTTACTTCCTATTTCTTACTGTGTTTTCTTGGGATTGCTTTCTTTTTTATTTCCCTTGCTGTGTTTTTGTCAGAAACATGAGCGAGCACAGCTCCTGTGAGCAATGTGTGGTTAAGCTTTTAAGCGCATGACATACCATTTTCCTGTTGCTTTTGCTAGTCTTCTACTTTCTTTTATAGCTTTTAGAGTATATTTTATCTTAATGTAATTTTTTAAATAAACTACTTTTAAGGTTTTCATTTTTCAAAAAACAATACTGACTTTATCTTTCTCTACTTACCCAAGTCAAGAACATAGGTTTTGGGGTTTAGGGATGTTTTTGTCATGCATTTGGTGAAATTTTGGTTTTGTTTATGGTCATACTGGTTTTGAACTCTGCACCTTGCACTCTGTGCTGGCTAGGCAGGTGCTCTACCGCTTGAACATACCCCCAAGCCCAAGAACAGAGGTTTTGTTTTTTTTTTAGGTCTGGGTCGTGAGGCCTGAACTCTGGGCCTGGGCGCTGTCCTTCAGCTCTTCAGCTCAAGGCTAGCGCTCTACCACTTGAGCCACAGCGCCACTTCCAGCTTTTTTCTTTTTGCTTATGTGGTGCTG